AGGAACCTTGAGTTTGTCCCTGAGAGCATCTACAATTTGAACCGTCTTATTAGTCTAAGGTTTGATGGTTGCTTGAAACTTAAGAAATTACCTCCCTTCTCAGTCGGTTTGCACTCCTAGGAAGAACTAAACCTCAGTTACTGCAGTACATTAGAGATCCCTGATCATCTCCTTTGCTTAACCTCATTACGAAATTATATATATACTAAAACTGAGTTCACGAATTCACTGTTCCTAGACTGTAGCTTAGGAATAGTGAAGTGCCGATTTTGCCCTTTACTGAAATTTTCCTTATGTTCCTTTTTTGCCCTTCTCTCTTTGGATGCTAACTCTCCCCACTGTTTCGTTTCCACAGAACGATCGTCCGCTTCGAACCAGCTTGGTTGGGCTGGTTGGGGGCAGCCATGGAATGCACGGCTTCGATCTTCGGGATTCCTTTGGGGCCGTAGATTTCCATTTGGGCTAGCGCCTTGCGAATCTCGCCGTTCGTTTGGTCTTCATCTCATCTCATCTGCTCATTCGTTGGTTCAACCATCTTTCATCCTATGTGCAACGTTCGTCTGAGAGATTTTCGATCTGCAAGTTCTTCCATCTTTTCTCTTCAGGTTTGCATCCCTTTACTTTTTAACGGATTAATGGCTTGCTGATGGGTTTCTGAGCGTGCTGTTCAATCCTTTGATTCTTGCCCAAAAAATTATTAAGCAGTCAAGATCTCTCTGTCTCTCTCTATTTGAGCATGTGGATAATGAACCCTAGGAGCTTAATATCTGTTTGCATCTAAAAGAAAATATGATTAGGAGCTGATATTCTGAACTAATCGACCAGTCTCTTAGCTGGAAGGTAGAGATGGTTGGTTCAATATAAGATCATTCAAACAAAAAATCTGATTTTACACTGTATAAAATATGTAGAAACCTACTTACTCTCTGTTTGTTTGCTTAGAAAATGCAAGAAAAAAAACAGAAAATGTCATCTTTTAAAACATTTTACTGTTGTTTTGTGGGTAGGAGTTCAATAATTATGCTTATAAGAGCATTTGAGGTCACCTACTTAATAACATTAGTACTTTTTATTGAAATCACTTGGGTTTCTGTGGAAACTCAAGGACATAAAGGAAAAAGTTTGAGTCTTTGTTCTATAATTATGTTGGATTGAAAAGTTGGTGCCTTTGTTCTTTCATACATGTGCTTAGCATTACAATGAAAATTTCCTTTCATTGTTTTTTGGTTATTGAATGGTTTGAGCATGAGGAAAAAGGTGATTTTGCAACCTCAACAAAGCATTTCAAGTAAGAACCATATCCTCGAATTGCCCTTTTGGACCAAAATTAAGCCTTTTGTGTGATGGTTTATCATATAATTGGGTTCTATGTTTGGGCTTATGGATTGGTTCATGGTAGATTTGAATTGGCATGCGGAGTTGCTTGGGTGAAGCTGATGACTCTGTGCATTGCAGGACTACAACAAAATGGTGCACTTACATCTATTCGTGGACTTTGAAATAGAAACAAGGTTTGCATCTTTTAATCGCCTCCACTGTATTTCAATTTCTTTCCCTTTTATTAATTTTGATTGTATTTCTCCCCTGTGATGGGATTGAACAGGCTTTTGAATTGGTAATGGCAGGTGACTGTTTGTGCGTGAATAAAGGCTTGCCATTGCCCTTGCTGATGTTGTGGGACAGAGCCAGTGTATATGTACAGAAGTTGAGGGATACAATGTTCTCTCTCCCTCTCTTTAATTTCAGTTATTTTTCTTTTAATAGAATTTCGTCAAATATTTTGGTTCTGGATTTTTTGTGTTGAACAAATTTACAATAAAGGTATTTTATGACGTTCTGTGTTCGTAAATATCTTTTGTAGAACAGCACAGAATGTTGACTGACTTTGAAGGTGTTGCAAGAAAAAACGAAGTAGGGTTCCGCATTTGGACTAGCAAAGAGGTTTGTCAATCGTTCTCTCACCCTCAATTTTTTTTCTTTCAATAAGTCGATTACATCTCAGCCTTAAATTCGCTGTTTTTTATTTCTGTTTAATTTAATGAGACAATTTCTGTTACAGAATTCTAAATTATGCTTCTTTTTTCCATGTTAGGGTATTGGGATGCTAAGGGGTTCTTATAACTTAGATGGGTATGCTTCAAGAAGGTTGGTTTTATTCTGGAAGAATACCCATTTGGTTTTCGACATAGTTTATTTAGTTAAATATATGGTTGCTGGTGAAATGGATTAGCCAAATATTGCATATGTAATATGCCTACAAATTCTTAGTATTGTTGTGAACAGTCAGTTTAAGTGGAGGATTGTTGTATGAAATTTGGTGAACAAATATCTAGAAATTATCTTCACAGTTTCTTAGGTTCCATTTAATTTGGTATTTGTTTTTGTGTGATATATTTCTCTTAGGGCATGTCAAATGGTAAAGCTGCAATTAATGGTGTCTTTTTTGTGTTGCAGTTCCACCAGTACCAGGTTGTTGGGAGAAAGCTCCCTATGGCATCTAATGAGCACCCCAAGATTTACCAAATGAAGCTCTGGGCCACAAATGAGGTTCACGCCAAGTCCAAGTTCTGGAATAATCCTTAGCCTTCCCAAATGTTCATTGATGAATTTTTGGTTAAACTCAGTATTGTTGATTGATTTGTTTGGATTAGGTATTTCATGAGGAAGCTGAAGAAGGTCAAGAAGAGCAATGGCCAAGTGCTTGCCATTAATGAGGTTTGTTCTCTTTGCCGTTTATACTTTATTTTTTTCCAATTAATAAATTTGTACCCATTTTGATTATTTGTTAGTGTCTAATGTAGTCAATGTTTTTTTGGGGTGGGGAAGTGGTTCCTTCTCAACTCTCCTCCTGGCAAAATCCAATTTGTTGCCAAAGGGCTCCACCTTTGACCCCAAAGCGTCACTCTTTTATCACATTTATTTCGCTTTTTTCTAATTTTGTTTCGATAATTTGAATCGTATTTTGTATTTGATGTTTGGCTTTGGTGGCAGATGTGAAGGAGGTTGCGTCATAGGCATCCTCTGGAATATTATGAAAACCTATCAGCATATCCACACCTTCTTTTACACCCGATTTCTCTGCACATTCTTCTCAAAAACTTAAATGCTTTATGCTCCATAGCCTTTGGTAGTTTTCTCTTCTTTCACTTGGTTCCATTTTAAGTTTGAACTTTTTTTTAAAAATATCTTTATTGTAAATTTGTTACTTTAAATCCTTAATTTTAGGATTAGTTGTGGTTTATTTTTATAC